CAGCTTGAAACGTGAGCCAGGAGTTCGGGGGTGAGAGGTGAATATCAGGATCTATTCGGAGTGATCATTTTGTACTCCTACTGACTAGTATAGGGCGCCATTCGTTGCGGGACCCACTGCCTTAACCCGCGGGGATCCCATGTGATCGCGGTTGAATTCGAACATTCCAGCTTCTCACGCATGTCAAGTGTCTGCCCTCACCCCCACCCCCCTAGACTGGCGACACTGCCCCTGGCTCACGGATTCCCCGCTCCACATTGAAGGGTTCACTGTAGCAGGAGGCAGTGGGACCCGTAACGAATGGCGTCCTTTACTAGTCAGAAGGAGTACAAAACGCCTCCCCCTCCAAGGCTTAGTCTCAGGGCTTCCACCGTCCTCTTAGACTTGGAGCCGAGCCAAGCGCCGTTTAACCGTCTGTACTCCACCATTTGGCAGGACCATAGAAGAAAGTTCAAGCAACCCATAAACCAAGTGGAGGAGGAGGGGAGGGAAGAACAAAACCAACCCACAATAGACCCGAGGTCATTTGCAGACATTTGCTCCCGCCTACAGAAGCTCTAATTTGTAGGGACAAAATCCTGTGGTACGTGAACCACTTCGCTTCCGCTTTTACACTCATCCCAGGCTTCCTTCCAATGCAGAAAGGATTACCTCAAGCGGTATGGGCAGTCGTAACCCCTGCCGATTCCTTACGCGACAAATAATGGACGGTGCACAGGCAGTCTGAAAATAAGCCCCCTTTTTGAAGCACCGTGTGTGGGCCCCGCTATCAAAGTGGTCTTTCTATCGCACTATTAATTCTTGTTTCACCTGGTTCATTAAAACCACCGAATCGGACCATTACATGCGTGACCTTCATCTTCCAATTAAAACTGAGCCTCAGTTACTAGCTACATCACCCAACAATCACCACATTGAACCCAAGTTGCAAAACCAAGCTAAGGGTACACTCTGTTTCTGAGGCGGCTCGGGGATAGAAAGCGACGTTTCCGCCTTTCGCAGCGCGACACTTTTTTTTCTCTGCTACAACCCCATGTCCACTCTTGATCAGCGGTGGACCTGGGGTCCCCACAGGAAAGTTTCACACTGCGAAAGGCGGAAAAATCGCTCTTCTCCTAACGCAACGCACCCCACTAGCGTAGTGTAAGCAGTGATGACGAGATGCTACCAGAATAGATGGGACTAGATCATTGAAAGGAGAGGAGGGAATCCGGAATGACAACGTTCATTTTCGCCCACATTCCTCTGTCCCCATAATCAGCTGTGAAGACCGAAAAGAAGCATATTCCCCGTCCCCGAACATGTTTTGTACCGAACCCAGCAGCACATTCTGAGCACAGCTTTACAAGTTGCACAGGGTACAACTTAATCCCGGATCTTACTCTTATTAGAAGCATTACTACCCATATCAGAACTACTTTGAACAACAACAGATCAGAAAGAGCTTTAGAGAGTGAGAGGAAGAAGAAGGACAAATATAGTGCAAAACATCACGACC